CTCCTAGGTCCCTCAACACCCCGCAGGACCTTACCATTTACTGTATAAGTCCCACCTTGGTTTGACTTTCCAAAGTACAATACCTCACACTTATCTGCATTGAATTGCATTTATAATGATTGGGAGGATGATGTTATGGAGGGATTCTAAAACAGGATCCAAAATTTAAAATCAGGAGTGTTGTCTGACCAGGAGCCAGAATTGTTCCAGAAGCAGATGGGCGAATTTGATTTGGTACAGATTAGAATATGATTAGCAGTATTTTGCAATGCATATGTTGGGTAGGACATGGAAGATTGGCCAAGAGTGTATGGAATAGTACAGTGTAAAGGGACGAAGATGATGATTTCAGCTGGAAATAGCTGAGGCTGGGTAGAAATAGTGATATTAAAGATGTGGAAATAGATGTTTTCAGAGATGGACAGACTATGGAGTTGGTAGTTCAGAGTTAAAACGGACAAAAGTAGTAAATTATGGATTCAACCAAAGACTGTGGTCAAAGAAGGAACTAAGTGAGAAGGGATCAGATATTAACTGTAAACATTTGGAAGACCAAAACCAATGAAGCACTTCAGAAATGTAGTCACTATTGTAAGATAGGACTAATCTGATTTTTAAACTGATGCACAGCAAATTTAAAAAAAAATCACACCTTTATCATTGTCTTTTCCCTTAGAAAAGAATTAAGTGGTTCGGGAGGGCCAACAAGATTTGAAATCCAGACAGTGGCCCAGTTTGATAACCACAACTCCCAGGTATGGCGTGTCAGCTGGAACATCACTGGTACGGTCTTGGCGTCCTCTGGAGATGATGGCTGTGTCAGATTATGGAAAGGTGATCTTGAATTTGAAAGCATGCTTAGATTAATGTCAAACAATTAATGTTGCTTGTGTACTATGGTAATGACTGAGAGTTTTAGCTGATGATTACATTTTGCTGGATTAAGTTCAAGAATAAGATTAGGTGAATGGTTATCAGTAAGTTGATATTATTTCACTTTCCATTTTGCTATAGGAATTCTTAGCTTGGTGCATGGGTATTATCACATAGTATTTAATATTAAGATTTAATTATTACATGTTTTGCAGTAACGTGACATTTTTTGCTGTTTGGATGATGGAAAAAAGTATTATTATAACCTTTTGATTTTACCTGTAGTGATATAAACTGAAAGTTGGTTAAGAAAGACCAATAATACTTCTTAGATAATTGGTCATTAATGGGTCACCTTATAAGATTATCATTGCTGTTAGGAGATCAACAAACTCAAAGAAGATCTGTAGCTGTCAGAGCTTAGGGGCTTATGACCACAGTCATCTAAGTATCGTCAGTTAGGTATTCTCAGATAGTTTATTGTGTTTGTTAAGATTCATCAATGTTGGATATGATGCGACAGTTAGTTAAACAAAGAAAATAAATGACCCATGACAGATGAAAACACTTTATTGATCCTGAAGCCATTCTTTAGAATTGTGATGCAGAGGAAGTGGACTCAAGAGGATTCCAAAGTGATGGGGTTTTTGTCCCCAACGTTTCGCAGTCTTTGGTGGTACTAGTCTCTATCCTTCCCTCGGGCTAATGCAGAGCGACTCCTGGTTTTCTCCCAAGAACATGATGGCTGGTACTCTGGACACTTTTTACCTCAATTTTTCTCTCCCTTTCTTGCCCACTTCTCCACTATCACTACCACCTGGTAATTCTGCTGGCAACCATTGCTGTGTCAATCACCATGGCCGAAAACCATAGGTCAGCTGCTCAAGACATCAGGGTGACCATTCTCCCTTTGCCTACCTTCATTCGCAAGTTAGTTATCATTCTCTCTAAGAACAAAAGTTCCCATTTTCTGAAACATTCCATTGTTGATAAGGTACATATAGTACTAGATAAATCTTTGACATCAGTTCATTGAAATATTGTGATTAAGATAGAAACTGATGACATGTATTTACAACAGCAAGGGCTCAACACGTATGGAAGGGAGATTGGGAATGTGGAATTTTGTGAGAAACTAAAAGAAATCTCTTCTGTAACATCATTTAAAGGCAGAGGATACTCATTAAAAAGAACACCACTATATGGCAGAACGAGTGGATGTTTAGAACACAAAGCTAATTGAAATTATCTAGTTTATGCTTAATATGCAGTTATAACTGAACCTAATTTTCTTTATTTTCAGCTAACTATATGGATAATTGGAAATGTACTGGCATTTTAAAAGGAGATGGAAGTCCTGTAAATAATGCCTTACTCCAGCAGCCAATGGGTGGTCTTGGTTCTTCAGCATTTAACAGTACCACCGCACAGAATGCGCTGAATGGAACATCTTCTGCAGGAAGGTAGGTTGATGGTGCCTTCAGTTCAGAAGTATTGATGAAGATTTGCAGGACAATAAACAACTGTGTACAGTTCTGGTTGCCCTGCTAGAGAAAGGATATTATCAGATTGGAGAGAGTTCAGAAAAGATTTACCAGGATGTTGTCAGGACTGGAGGGTTTGAATTACAAGGAGAGGCTGGATAGGCTGGGACTTTTTTCACTGGAACGGAGGAGGTTGAGGTGACCTTAGAGTTTTATAAAATCATGAGCTGCATTGATAAGGTGAACATCAAAGGTCTTTTCCCCAGGGTGGGGGCGTTCCAAACTAAAGGGTATATTTTTAAGGTGAGAGGAGAAAGATTTAAAAGGGACTTGAGGGTCCAAGTTTTCTCAGAGTGTTTGGTGTATGGAATGAACTGCCAGAGGAAGTCCTAGCTGCAGGTACAGTTACAACATTTAAAAGACATTTGGACAAGTACATGAATAGGAAAGGTTTTGAGTGATACGGGCCAAACGCAGGAAAATGGAACTAGTTTAGTTTGGGAAACTTGGTTGGCATGGACAAGTTGGACTGAATGGTCTGTTTCTATGCTGTATGATTCTATGACAAGGCCACTGTTTGGGAGTTAATAAATTTTGTTTGACTATTTTTAGCATTGCCTAAGTTGGCTTTACACTATGGCAGTAGAACATGGAGGATCCCGTGGACATGCAGACCAAGTGTGAAATCTGGTAGTAAATACTAATTGGCTTCACTGAAACTTTATGATGTAAACATTTCTTTTATGCTGGGTTGGGACTAGAAGCTGCTTTCAGTGAAAAAGATTAAATGGGTGCACCTAGAAACATAGAAATAGGAATTCAGCCCTTCATGCCTGTTCCGCCATTTGGTGCAATCATGCTGATCAACCAACTCAGTATAATGGCCATCTTGCTCAACATGGGGCTGAAGTAAGAAACTTGCCATTTGGCAAATAGAGTACTGTGGCAAGCTTTGTTCATGAAACAAGATACTATTATTGCTTTTTTTTTGAAACTTACTCCTTTATGCTTGTACATTCAATCTTTTGCAGATTTTTGAGCGATTGAATCAACTTTTTAAAAATGTATTACTTGGTTAAAAAATAATTTCCTGAATAAGCCTCTAACCGCTGAGCATTAACCTCCAAGATGCACAGGTTCTGCATATAAATTTTGAGTTTATTTCGATGGACTTATTTGAAAAAAAACAGAATATAGTCATTGCTATAAATCAGATTCCATAAAGTCCTCAAGATGAGGAATCGATAGTAACTCGTGTTGTGCCCAAATGGTTGTGCATGGTATCCATAACTCTGAAGTTGTTTCTTCTTGAAGTATTGATGCATGTAATGTTGAAATGCATCTGAAATAATGAATGTCTAATCTAATAAAAGAACAAAAACTGTGTAACAAAGTGTGATTTCAAATGCTTGGAACCAGAAACCATCCTCATGGCACAGAATACTGTCTGTTGCACTTAAATGTACATAACTCTGAGCTTATACATATGGGTTAAAATATTTTAATTTTTATGGTTTGAGTAAACCAAATCCCAAAATTCTGTGTATGAGGCAACAGTAATAATGTGTTAGATTTATTGTAGATCAGCATTACTGTCTTAAAGAAACAATATAACGAAAACCTCGATATCAAAGAATATAATTAAAGGACAGAGGCTAGTTGAGATAAATCACTTCGTCTTCCAACACATATGGAGACACTTCATTGATAGCATTTATGATGTAGTGTAACATCAGAGAAACCTCCTGTAGATTACCAATTACAATCTGTTCAGTGGTTTTTTTGAACTGTGTTTTGTATTTAAATTGGAGAACATAGGTAAGGGTTTTTCTCTGGCCAGTAATCTTCTTTCGCTCCATTTATTTGAAGTGTCAAGTGTTTTGTCAGTGGTGTCCGATCCCAACTGACTGGAAATTTAACCTCCTGATTCCTTTCCTTTTAAAGGATGCTTTGGTTAAGTATGGAAAATTGTAGGGGCAAATCATCTTTAATGTGTGGCATGGAAGATTACTTTCAAAATCAATCCAAAATAGTGTGTCAACTGAAGGTGCCTCTCACCCCTTCAGATGTACTCCATTTTTGAATTTGAATTTGAATTTGAATTTGCTGTACTGCGATGCAGGTCAGTGGTTGTGGACATTGCTTTCTGCCTACACGATTTGTATTCACTTATCAAAGTAACAATTTTTGGAGCAATCGACAAAGGATTTGGGTTTCTTGATTCAGCTGTCAAAATGAAAGTTGCATCTGAAATGTTATTTTCTCCAGCCATTAACCCCATCACCAAAACATTTATCAAATAGAAAGGATTACAGACATTTTCAAATTTGAAACGTAGTATTTGTTCATTTTTTTTTCTTTTAGGAAACCTTGATACATCTTGCCATCTGCACATATTATGCCCTTTTCAACAGACAGAAAATTCAGCTGATCTCAAGCTAACTGGAATAACTTTGCTGTTTTGCTGCTTGTTGCATGCACACAGGAATGAAAAACGAACTCCTTTATCCCCTCCCCAGCGTCATCTGATATCACTTGAGGCCAACTAGCAACCTGCTTACTAATAATCTTGGATGGAAAGCTTTATAAAATAGATTTTTTTTCCCTGTTTGTTAGTGTTTCTTTCCTGAATACGTTTGACATTGTTCTTGAACAGTTGACTTCAATGTGCTGGAAACTTAGGAGAAGCACGTTTTGCTTTACCTTACAGAAGCTTGAAAGAACTCTATTTTGCATCTTCTGTGGCTATATAAATACATTAAGTTGATGGTAAATTACTACTTTTGTAAAAACAAAATTAAGAAAAACACTGTAAGTGAATAAGGCTGAAGGAAAATACAATTTAACTAATTTGATTTTGAGCTGCGTTAATTTTCATTCTAAACAACAACTACACACACAGCAACACCACACATTCATTGAGCTCTAAAGTAGGGATATACAAATGCAAACAGATATGTTCTGTTTTTTTAATTGTGGGACCAGTATTCTATGTGTTCTAATTAGAATTAAATAAATTAAGAATCACATTGACACAGTATTGTGTGTGCTTGATTTTTTCAGTGTTGGATTTTAGGTTTTGTTTTGTTTGCAGTATTTCTTCTAATACTGATGCATAAGCATTGTGTTTACATTATGATGGAAGAACTGTTTGAAAATACAGATGAGGGGGCATTGGAACTATTGGATAACATTTTCTTACTGTGGTCTGTTTGCTGAACCACGACCCAGTATTTTATTTTTATTTTCAGGCATGTGTAACTTTCATTTTCTAATATTCACCACATATCTCTTTGTCTTGTGTTCTTTTTCTCCCATTTTATTCTCTCACCTGTGTATTCCCATCTACATTGTTTCAGGTATTTCTTTCCCCCTTCGGATCATGCTCGGGCTGGATCAAGATGGTCCAGTTATGCCCAGCTTCTTCCTCTTCCTCCTCCTCTTCCTCTTCCTCCTATGGCAGAACAGTCTTGTGATGCTGATGCAACTCACCTTCAGTATCGTAACCCTCACGGTCAATACTCCTGCAGAACTCTCAATTCCTTGCCAGAGAATGAGGGGGTGCAATAAAAAAGCATACTTATGCAGAGCCGGTAATTGTATATGTGTCTGCTGAGTTAAATTTACGCCCTTCCTCATGTTCTCTGTATTGTAGATAGTTTATTGATATTCCAACAATCATACATTATGTAAATAATCTGATGTTGAATTGTCTGTTTCAGTCACTCCAGTAGGTCCAAGTGAGTGGAAAGCTGCATTTAACATCTATATACAATAACGAACAGCTAATAGACCAAGTTAAACTAACAGAATTATGTGCCTTAGAAATGCCTACTGTTAATTGATTTTTAATGAAGATTAATTTGTATCGTAAAGGAATTCTGAAAGAAATATTTAATTTTGAAATGATCAATTGTTACAAATGTAATTTCTGGTGTTAAAGTTGAGAGAAAATTGTGTAATATGTGTTACCAATCTAAAACAGAGTGGTGCATGGCAGTTGGCAAGATGACCATATGAGCTGAATGAGAATGCCATTCCTGTCTTTGAGCTGAAATAGATCACGCACAGTCAGTATTTTGCTAAACATTTGTACAGGTAATGGTAAGAAATTGCATTTAAAAATCAATGGAGTGTAAAATTATTTTGTGAAAAAAATAAAGATACATGCAAACAATTGACTCAATTACAGTATGTGTTTGCATCCATTGGTGGGGGAAATGATAGTAGTCAAGTCATTGAGTGGCAATTTTGTCTCTTAAATAGCATAAACATTTGAAAATGATACATTTTCATAAAATCCACAGTGTGGAAGCTAGCCATTCAGCCCACCAAGTTCACACCCACCCTCTGAAGAGCAGCCCACCCAGATCCAGCCCCCTACCCTGTAAGCCTGCATTTCCCAAAGCTAATCCACTTAACGTGCAAATCTTTGGACTGTGGGAGGAAGCCCATCCAGACACCAGAAGAATGTGCAAACTGCAAGCAGACAGTCACCTGAGGACAGAATCAAACCTGTGACCCTGGTGCTGAATCACTCAGCCATCGTGCTGCTTTTTAAAGTGAAGTGATTTTAGGATGACAGGCTGGTAGCAAACAGAATAATAGATTTGTGCTGGAAAAAAGTGACACACTTTGTTGAATTTTTAAAAATTCAGTGAGTACTGATGCAAAATACCACAAATCTAAGACTATTTATTTGGAGCTGCAAGTATAGGATAATCTTAACATGGGTCGTGTATATTTTGAATATATGTTTTGGATGTCAATATATGTGATGGCCATAAAAATGATATTAACAAAGAAAAGTAGCTAACAAAAATAATCTGACGTTTCCGGTCGAGACCCTTTTTTTAGAGGGAGGAGGGTAACATCTTTAAGGTAGGCATCCTTAGAAGACCCAAAACGTCAGCTTTCCTGCTCCTCTGATGCTGCTTGGTCTGCTGTGTTCATCCGGCTCTACACCTTGTTATCTTAGATTCTCCAGCATCGGCAGTTCCGACTATCTCTGTAACAAAAATAATCTATTCCTTCCAAAGTAATTGCATCTCTAAAGTATAGTAAGTCCCAAGTTGTTTTTTTCCCCTGCAGAAGTTAACTTCTTTTTCCTGTATTGAGCTTTCCAATGAGCCTTCAAAATAGCAATACAAAAATACTATTAAAATGGAGTACGGCAGGATTGATATTTTAAAATAGACTGCAAATTGATTATACTTAGGCAAGACCTTGTTAGTCTGTCATGAGTGAAAGATGGAGTTGTTCTTCTTTATGAATAATTTGGATGAAGACAGCAGAAGTTCAAAGACAATACAAAAATATGCAGGGATTTCAGGCATGAAGTCTCAACGAAGACAGAAAATGCTGGATCATAATCGGCAACCTTGGCACTGATATTTCACCCATGTACTAATTTAAAATCTGATTTTGGATATGGCCAATTCACATACACAAGTAACCACAACAGGCAAAGATCCTTTTGTGGAAAGAAAGGGAATTGTGTAAAGGGAATATAATGAGTACAGATCACAGTTAAATAATATTATAATAGATGGCAAATAAAAATGATGAGAATAATGAAATAGGGATATACGAGATTCAGAGAATGTGAATAGTGAAAGCAGAAGGGTGGTATGTTAATATAGCAACGGGCATATATGCTGCATTTTTAACAATTTCAAAAGAATGTTAGCAAACCAAAGGACACAGCCACATGGGGTGGGTGACTAGAATAACTCAAATTACAGCATGTTCTGTAGGTGAGTTTCAAGTAAGGGAAAGGCATGTTGACATCAAGGTTGTGGATCATCCTACCCAATTTCACGAATAAACAATCCCTATTTCAAGAAACCTGGATTCCCATGCTCCTCCCCAAGAAGAAAACTATCAGTCGACCCATCCTACATCACCAACACCCATTGCCAGAAAGAAGATGGGAGCCATGGTTGTGGTTTGAAAATTGCAATTTGCCTATCGAAGTATTTTAAAGTTGTATGATAGTTCATTTTCTGACCACCTATCTCCACCATGGTCAATATGCCAGCCTATTGCCACCTCCGCATATTGGTTCATCTGTTGTTGAAAACTCCTTTCGCCTTTATTCTTAATATCACAGTACACTTATTAACAGCCTCCAATCTTCGAGCCTACAAATATTGTACTCGTGCTAAACTTAACTCACTTCAATTTTCATTTGCTCATTACCTATTTTCACTGATTCTCTGTCTGAAAACACACCAAATGTAAAATCCTTTTAAAAAAAAAATGCCTCCATGTCCTCACTTATCCCTGAAATCCCTCTGAGCTGCACAATTTTGCAAGATATCTGTGCTTATCTAGTTTTGCCATCTTAGCCATTTACTCATTCTGCCATTAGCAACTGTGCTTCTTGGCCCTTTGCCAGTAGGCTGTGTTTACTTTCAGGATATGCACAGGATCACAATCAAAACACTGTTAAGGTGAAAATACTGCCGCAACTAAAACACTATAATTAGATATGACCAATTCCAGGAATAAACTCTGGGTTCTCAGCCAACAGAAGACAATAACAGTCTCACCTCTTTTCCTCCCACACTTTAACATCACATTCTCAACTTGTGCTAACTAATAATGCCAAATGTACCATAAAAATACACAAAGAATACAAATCATAAACTTTAAGACAATCCAATCATATGCATAGGAATTGCAACAAATGGTTCAATGAAGAATGCAGAAAGACATGCCAAGAGCAGTGCCAGGCATACCTAAAAATGAGGTGTTAACCTGGTGAGGCTACCAAGGCAGGGCTAATTGTGTTCCAATTAGTAAGCAATTTCAACTGATCAAATTTGAGTTCTGCAGTCTTGCTACATCATATGGCGAGTAGTGGTGGACAGTTAATTCACCGGAGAAGGAGGCTCCATCAACATCCCCCCCCAAACTCAAGAACAGAGGATCCCAGCACATCTATGCAAACGAGAAAGCTGAATCATTCACAATAACAATCTATCAGAAGTGCCAAGTAAATGACTTCATCTTTCTTCCTCCTTGGTGTTGTCTATCTCGTAGGCACCTGCGGATGAAGTTGTTGGGATATCTGTTGTTAGCAAAGACTTTGTATAGGTCTTTGCTCTTCCTTCGTCTATGCAGGACAACGCCAATAGGACACAGTACATCCCAAAACACTGGCCAGACTACCCTATATCAAGAACATGTCAGAACTGACGAGATTCCTATGACTACTAGGAATCATGGTAGCACATAAACTCACAGCCACACTATGATAAACACTCACAAGGACCAAAGACCCCATTCCCATGACATGCATGACCAACGTAGTTTAGAAAATACCTTGCAATGACTCCAATAAACATTACATTGGCCAGACCGGAAGGAAACTAGTGATCAGGATACACGAACACCAGTTAGCAGCAAAAAGACATGACGAACTTTCCCTCATCTCAGTGCACTCGGACAATGAAGGCCATCAATTTAACAATGTGACCATCCTAGCTCAAGCCAACCACAGACATGCATGGGAATTCCTAATCAACAAACATGTGGAATTAGAACCCATTTACAAACCCATGCAGAACAGAACCAGAAATGACACAACCCAACTTAACAGACCGGATCATATGAATACCAAGCACAGCAGAACAGCATCACTTCATCAGAGGCCTCAGTGATGATGTTACATAGCACGGTGACGAAACGTCTGTACGATAGCCAACTCGGTGAGCAAGCCAACAATCTTGTCCACAATCCAAGCTACAAATCATCGCAAGAACCTTAAAAGTTCCTTGGGGCACTGTCCTCATCCCTATCATCTTCAACTGCAGAATGATCATCAATAACATTCCATCACTGAATCCCCCACTACGTTGAATATAGGGATTATGATTGCAGTTACCTGGATTCAATACAAGATTTCAAGATATATTTGAAAGTGAAGAATTTAGAGGGCTATGGTGATAGGGCTGGAAATGGGACTAACTGGGTAACTCTTTTAGGAACCAGTGCAGACATGGTGGGTTGAATGGCCTCCTTCTGTACTGCAAATTCCATAATTCTACGTTAAGAAACAGCAGCTTAGATCTGATTATATTAGTTAATTGGATAAAGAAAGCATACAATCATGACATAACAAGGTGTAGAGCTGGATGAACACAGCAGGCCAAGCAGCATCACCTTGTTATCTCAGATTCTCCAGCATCGGCAGTTCCTACTATCTCTGATACAATCATGACAATTGGGATTGGTTCACCAATGACAGAGGACAAATAATTGTTGGCGTCAAATGTGTTTGTCTAGTTTAAGCTGGGAGGCAGCATCCTGTTCTGTAGCTGAAGTGTTAGGGAACTCCTCCCTGGTCTTTCTCTTCTTCAAGCCTATCTTTCTTCTAAAGAGAGCTCTCTGAGGATCTCCCTCTGCTGCTGAACATTTGTTGATATACTGATTTCTAGGGGCAGGTGTTTTACACTGCATGAATTGTTTCAATCCTTTGGACTAAGAAGTAGCTTCTTATTATAGTTGTTTCAGTGGGTTGGAGGAAGTTGGGCTTCCAACCCAGCAAATATCTCCCCCTTGTTGCTTGCTTTATTTTTTATTTTACATCAAGTTACTGGATTCTCCCTCATTCTGCATTGAAATTATACTCTAGGCTTTTGAGATCCTTAGCTGGATATGGCACATTCAGTTATATCAAACAGCATGGACTTAAAAGATTCTCCAGTTCTCCCTTCACCTGTACCCATCTTATGGGTATTTCTTAGTATCTCTCGTTAGCCTTCACTTATCTCAACCCAAATTTCATGTTTAGGTTTTTTTTAACCCATTCTTGTCAGTACCACTTTGTTTTAAAGTCAGTTTCTCTGAGGAATACATGTTAGCACCCCATCATTCAAAATATTTTCTTGCTCTTCTGGCCACAATAACCATTTTGTCAAGTATATGTTCATGTCTGAAATCTTTCTTTAGTGCATTTTCACCCTGCATTTGTTCATGTTTATTCCTTCAGATTTAACAATCGCTTCTGCACATTTACACTGGTATCCCAAAATCGTGCCACACATTTAGCACACAGATGGACACCATAGGCTAACATATTTCAGATTATTTCTAGCTCACTTGTTCCTTTCATAACCTTTTTCAAAAGCATAACAATGAGTTACTCATCATCCTGCTGCATATTTCTACAATTTCCAGTATAGCTCCCACTACCTAGGATCCTAACTTTTTCATTAAATTATTTATAATTCGCATTCTAAAATACTCTAGTACCATAGTGACTTCCTGTTTTACTTAAAAGAATTATTCAACATGTTTAACTACAATCTAAGACTACCTGTTCCCAGTTTCTCAACATAGAAGCCACTTCAATTTCAACCTGTGATGTCTGTTAATTTTTTTGTGGGAAAGAATCACAATCACAGTTATCTAATATAGGCAGTCAAAAATTTGTAGCAATTTTCTGATAATTTATTAAGTTTGTTAAGAAGCAGCAATCCAGGTATGATAATTAGGAAAATTAATTTAGAAAAAGTGTGACAGTCATTGCTGAAGACATGGAATGAGTTGGTCTTGTTGAGGGCAACTTCCTGCTCTTTACCTGATGTTTCAGGGAACTCTTTCTTGGTTTTTTCTTTCTTTGTCTGGACCATCTTACATCTGGAGAAGACAGCTCTCTGAAGACTGCCTGATGAGGATGCCCAATGAGGACCACTTGATGAGGACTGCTCTCTGCCCCAGAGCTTTTGATGATGTGCAATCTTTCTAAGGGTAGGTAACTTACAATATATCAATCTTTTCTCTGAAACTTTTTGGACAATGACAATGGAATAGCTATTCATGACATCAGATGACCATTGTCTCCTTGGCCACCTTCATTTGAAGTTTAGTTTTCATTCCTTCGCAGAACAAAACCTTATTTTCAAAAACACTGCACTCAAAATAGTGTGGTGCCCAACAAATCTTTTATTTCTGTGATATAGGCTAGTTTCTAATGTAACAGAGTTAAATGAGGTCTCATGCCACATATGAAATGCTAGTTATTGAATACTAAGAGTACCTATTTTAAAGGAAAGCCAAATAAAACAACTGTCAACATTTTGGGGGTTCCCACTGATCAGAAACTGAACTGGACTAGCCATGTTAAACAGTGAGGCTACAAGATCAGGTCAAAAGCTTACAGCAAGTAGCTCACCTCCTGATGTCCTAAAGCCCAAAATCACCTACAAGGCACAATCCAGGAATTCTCCCCACTTGTCTGCTTGAGTGCAACTTCAACCGTTTGGTCCTGAAGGAAGAGAGGATGGTTCAACTGCAAATGTTTTGAGGTCTGCAATCTCATCCTGTCAACTTGCTTAAATCCCGTGGCTAAAATTGTGGTTGACTTTGAGGGAGTGTGAAGTATATGGGTTTTCTCACTCAGGATGGACAAGAGGATAAGATGCATGGTGTCACCTACAAGCACTATGTTTTTGTCTGGTTGAAAGACATCATTGGTTTCCCTGACAAAGTGCCTGTAAGTACCTCAACATTAAGACTGACCACTACCAGGCCTTCAAATGCAAGGCTGTGATGTTCTCTGAACATCATCAACCTCATATAAGAGACATCAAACCATCAATCTAGTGAACAGTTTGGGATGAACTCTTGACTGAGACAAGTTTCATAGCTGTAGAAGCACAAACAATGATGACAGTGCCTCACTGTCGATAGGGACCCAAATAGTATGATGCTTGAAGAATGTATCTAAATAGGATAACTGGTGGGGTTGTGCAATGAGTACAGCTGATTCCAATGAGACATCAGCAGATTCCTCATTTCTTTCATCCAAATGAGTGTCTACTACACTATTACTGTCATCATCATCATCACCCAAGATAACAACTATCTTACAAGCTATAGCCATGTATTGGTGGTCTTTATCTGGCAGAAAATTACAGTTGCTGGGAAAATGCTTACTGGTTGACCCACTTCTTTGTGTCAACGTGGAAGGGTACAAAGGTCCATGTGTAAGTTAATTTTAGACACCAAGGCTCAAATGTATTGACAGTTGTCTGATTTTTCATAAACACACTTCAGTGCCATCATTGTACATTGCAATGTTGTGGACTAACTACAGGTTAATATCGGTTGGAGTGCCAAACAACTGAAGTGCATAAAAATATTCCAACACTGGCACAATATCAGTGTAAGCTGTCGTCAGACAGAACACACACGATCGCGACACCATGTGTTGAGGTTAAAACTTTAATGGCAACCACTAAAACGGCAAAAAATCCAATCAATAAGAACAACTATGAGACAAGATGTACCTATTGGGGAACCCGGGGCTCCTGGCTTCCTGTGGGCAATAACCGGTAGTGGCAGCTCTGCTGTATTTATTCTCTAAAACTCTCCTTTAAGATTCTACAAAGAATTTTTGGCTAAGGTTTTCAGTGCAAGTTCCTGATTTGTCCTTTGAGGTTGACTGTCAAAATAAATTTTACTGATTTCCCTTGTCAACAAATTAAATGCATACGTTGTTAAGATTTACTGTTTAGACAGGTTTTAAATTTACTCTGGGGTAAGGGGTATGGGGCCAATGTTTAGGAATTCATCGTTAAGGTTCGGGTTTGGCGTTGGGTTTTCAGGGGAATATACTGGTTTGCAGTAACAGGGTCCACATCTGATCCGACATCTGCCTCATGACCTCCACCTCAACTGGCCACAAACTTCCATTGTCACCAAAAACGTCCATTTATTCTTCTCCTGTGCGTCAGCCATAGTCCTGACACCGCACCGCGTAACAAGCCGACCCTCAAAGCTTCAACTTTGCACGATTTATCGTGATTATGTCTCAGTCTACGGTGAATAAAACGCTGCGCTTATTCCTAACTAAAAGATCGGAAAATGCTGAAAATTCTCAACAGGTGAGGCAGCATCTGGGACAGAAAGAGAAGAACAGTTAGCGTTTCAGGTCTGTGAGGCCTTCTGTCATTAACTTCAATCCCCCGCCCACACTACCCCTAAGTATTGGTTCAGTAGTGGCTGGGAACACGTTCAATTCGAATAAACTTTTGTTGAACATTTTCAGCGGTGGTTCGCATGCCTTATGATGAAGGTTGTTCCACGTGTGGGGTGACTGTTTTGGCGGTTGAGCCACCGCGCGCGCCAATAACGGACGCCCCCGTTCGAATTCTAACCGTCCTCACGCCGAACAACGAACACAAGGCGGTCACCTCGTGGGAGTCTCGCGCCTTCACACCAGGTGGCGGGGGCAACAAGATCCTTTTCCGTCGGGAACTTGAAGGGGGGGGGGGAACATCCTGTTGCTCGGGGGAGGGGGGGGGGGGGGGGGGGTTCCGAGGAGCGGCGGCGGCGGCGGCGGCGCAAGCGCGTGGATTGAAAACCCCGCCCCTTTGGGTCTAGGAAACCGAGTGCCCGCCGACGTTATTGGAGTGGGCCTTAACCGTAAATCCCGGCCGGCAGATAGAATTTTATCTGTTATTGGGAGGGTTTACCGTATTGCAGGCACTTGTCTATGTATTTAATGTAGGGTGAGTATTCCTCGAGCTGGCTCACGGTTTTAGGTTCTGTTTCATTGGCGCTGGAGTTATTGACTTGTTGTATTCTATCTCAGTCAATCTGCTGAAAAAGTTTTGGGTTACATTCCCTTGCTTCTAAAGTTGAAGACTAGATGGCAGAAGTAACTGCGTTGTAAAGTATAGGAACTTCTCAATCGTGGTTAGGATCTGGAATGCACGTTGTGTCCGAAAACGGATTCAGATGAATTCTTGAGAGGAAACAACCATTATGAAGACGTGGGGAAGGGGGCTGGGGATGACTGCATTCCTCTTGCAAAGAGTCTGATTCTATTTGTGCTGTGTTCAGCAGTCATGCTGTTTAAAAGTTGTGTTCAATGATGAATCCTTAATTCTGAAAGTAATGCTGCATGATTCAAACATTCATTTCAATATAAAACTTCTTAGTAGCTTTTAAGCATTATAACTTATAGTTTCAACACCTAATGTAAAATTCTATTTAAATATTACTCCTAACTATACACTATATTTTGTGTTGTATCTTTTAATTTTGATGTAATAGATGTCAAATTATGTGAGGTTGAGAATTTAAATTTAATATTACTGATAACAGCTGCAATTTATAGTCATATTTATAGAAACATGGTACAGAGGAGAACCCTCAAAATTTGCACCAACAAAAATTTATTGTAAATCTACAATAAATCCACACTAGTTCCACTTTCCAGCACTTGGCTCATTGCCTTGAAAGCTATGGCATTTCAAGTGCTCATCCAAGTACTTTTAAGTTGTGAGGTTTCCTGCATCAACTACTCTGCCAGGCAGTGAATTCCACATTCCTGTACATTCTGGGTGAAAAGCTTATCCAACATCTCTTTTTGTAGCTGAATTACACCATGGAGTTCAAATGAACGGGGGGAAACCTCACAGAGACTTAAAAGAAAAATTCTAATAGGACTAGACAGCGTAGATGCAGGGAGGATGTTCCTGATGTTGGGTGTGTCCAGAACCAGGGGGTCACAGTCTGAGGATTTGGGGTAGACTGTTTAGGATGGAGATGAGGAGACATTTCTTCACCCAGAGAGTGGTGAGCCTATGGAATTCATTACCACAGGAAGTAATTCATGCCAAAACATTCAATGTATTCAAGAGGTGGCCAGATATAGCACTTGGAGCGAAGGGGATCAAAGGTTATGTGGAGAAAGCAGGATCAGGCTGTTGAGTTGGATGATCAACCATGATTGTGATGAATGGCGGAGCAGGCTTGAAGGGCTGAATGGCCTCCTCCTGCTACCATCTTGTATATTTCTATGTCCTGGTGAATCTCCTCTGCACCCCTCGCATCCTTCCTATACTTGTGACCAGAACTGTACTCAGTACTTCAGCTGTGTCCTAAATAAATATATAGGCAAGTGCCCTGTTTGCTGCCTTAACTACCCCAGTATACTATCCTGTTGCCTTCTGGGGAATTTGTGGACCCATAATACCTCTGTTCCTCTGACCTTCCAAATGTCTTGCCACTCATTTGTTAATCCATTGTCTTATTACTTCTTCCAAAGTGCATCACTTCATATTCATAAGGGTTAAATTCCATCAGCCTTTCTGTACAATTTGTCGGTATTGCCCTGTAACTTAAGACCACCTTCCTCAATGTTAACCACGTGATCAATTTTTTCATCCTCAAACTAATTTATTGCCCACCCTCCCCCCATGTTTTTCTTCTGTGTTGTTCATTTGTCACACAGCTGAATGAATTTTATGAGGGACCCAGCACGGATCCCTTTGCTACCCACTGGATGCTGGTGCTCGGTCACACAACCTTTGACCATCCTCTATATCAGTTGTCTTATTCTCATCTACTCACCTGATAACCTCCTTAAAGTTAAATCATTTGTTAGGCATGGCCTCCTTCCTCCAAAGACATTGCTGCTTATCTCTGATCAAACTATGCCTATCTAAATGGAAATTAATTCTCTTCAGAATTTTCTCCAATAGTTTTTCTACCAATGTAAGGCCAACCGCTCTGTAATTCCCTGTCTTATGTCCATATCTCAAGCATCTGTCTTGAAAAGTGGAACCACATTAGCCATCCTCCAGTCTGCTGGTACTGCCCCTGTGGTCAAAGAGGAATTTAGAATTTGGGTTAGAGCCACTGTTATTTCCTCCCTCATCAAAACAGCAGCATGGGTAACAACCTGGTATTTGCCTGTTATTAAACCTGCCAAAACCTCCAATACCATCTCACTCCCTATGTCAAACTGCTCCAAAACTCCAAGTCCCTCATCCTGAATTTTGTATCTATATCCTCCTCCTGAGTAAAGCCAGATGTGAACTACTCACTTAACACTCTACCAATGTCCTCTGGCTCCATGCACCAATTGCTCCTTTGGTCCCTACTAGTCCCTACTCTTTCTCTGCTTATCCTCTTTCCCCTTGATATACTTGTAGAATATTTTGGGAGTATCCCTAATCCAGTGTGTTTTTTTTTTCATGCCTCCTTTTTGCTGTCCTTGTTACTTTCTTAAGATCTCTTTTCTCCCTATGCTTTCTACACCGCAAGAGAGCCTGTTGCTTTGCTACTTTTGTACTGCTAAGTCTCTCTTTCTCTTCTTTGCCAGTCCTGAATATTTATAGATCTCCGAGATTCTCTGGGATTGTTGCTACTATATTTTGTCTTAAAGGAAATATGTTAGGCCTGTACACTGTTGCCACTTCCATTGTGAATGCCCCACTGTTTAGCCATAGATATACTCTGAAGTCACTGTTCCTTATCTACTTTGGTCAGATCCTTTCTTATTTTAATGAAGTCTGCCCCCCCCCCC